AGCCAGAAATCCGCATCCACATTTCCCAACCATTTATCATAAAATGCCAACACAATGACACCGATACGATACGCAGACAAAAACCAAATTCAAAGATTATGTCTTCAACTTGATAAACGAGATGTCACGGAAAGTATTTTGTGTTAACACCTCAGCGAATCGCATAACAAATTGGTTTATTGAACAGACACAACATCAAAGTTGGTGCCTCTAATTTGCAATTGTTTTAGTTGGTAATTAGGGTGAAGGTTCCAAAAAAGGATAATCAAAACAAGAAAAACAACACCAAAAAATAAACAACAATAAATCTCAGACAAGATAATTTGATGGATCCAACGATGAGACTTTGATGTGCCAAAAATAATTGCATGCAAATTTATTTTAATGCATATTTACCCTCGTAATTGCTGCAAATTTACGTTTCATTTAATCGACATTGTCAGAGGGTCCGGGGAAAAGCACACAAAAAGAACAACAAGAATGTTAGAATAACTAAAGTCGACCAGGGAAATACACTATTATAAACATTAAGCAAAATTAAACTAAGAATGAGGAACTTAAACCTTTTCTTATTTCCTTTTTATAATTATAATATATACCTCTAAATTACTCATTTTATTTACCAAATTTCTAGGTAGCTTAATGGCTTAAATACTCACTTTTCGGTACATAATACTTATGAACATTGTCCTGTGTAATATACCCTTTCTCTCTGCCGCCGCTGGGCAGCCAAATGGCGACCATGAAAAAGCGGCAAACAGATTATAACTCCCAACTGACATTCGCGGGGACTTTATTATTTGGCCATTGAAAAATGCGAGACTAGCCAAGGGATGGGTTTATCTTTTTTTTGGGTTTGGTTATGGTGCCGGGGTGGCCGCGGACCCAAGTGGATTTTAATTTTTCAAAGTTAAACAGCGTCGGCGACCCTTTTTTTTATATACGCCGGGAATGAACCGAACCGCTTGACTGGACACTGGACTTTCCCCCCAGTGGACACTGAAGCTATGTTTGTGTAAATGTCGCAGCCGAAGCTTTATTGTTTACCTTTGCGACTTTGCACTGATTGATCCCTTGGGTGGCTCAGCAGGGCGACTGTGTGTAATTAATTTCGCCTTTTGCTTTTCGCTGTTTGATTTGCGATTTCTGATTTTGGTCCTGGCCTGATTTGTGCTCGGGGAAAATGGAAAACCATCAAATTGTCACGTAATTATATTTGCGTTAATGATGTTCCGAACCCGTCGCGACATCAGAAAAGTCAATTAATATTTTTGGTGAGCGAACACAACAATTTAGATTGTTGGACTTTAATTAAAATGCTTTGGCCGCAATTTCAATGCATGCTGAGATTTTTAATTTTCATTGAAATCGTGACAGCCGATCTCATTCTGGTCTCTCTTATATTGTTCCTTTTTTGTGTTTTGTATTTTAACATTCTTTTTTTTCGGTGGCTTGGCACGCGAGTTTAAAAACCCGCTGCCAGATTCCGGCGATAATGGGCAGAAAAATGTTTGGGCCATTAAATTATATAAGCCTTAAGTGGTTGTTAATCTCACTTTAATTTTTTTCACAAGCCAAACTTGTTCTTTTTGTGTTTCATTCTGATTGCATTCGCGTGCTACTGAGTAAGATGTTAAATGCAAATTATTCAGATAATCGGTTAATGAGGCAGAAGTGTCGGGGAATGTCCCAATTGGTGAGTCACCATGAATGAAGGCTTCAAAATTAGTTCTTACAGAACCCTAAAAATATAATTTTAACATTTTAATTGAATTACTTTTCACAAAGACCCTTTTAAATAACATTAACTCAGGTCTGGCAACGACATTTGTGAGAGAATTTCTTCTCAAAAAACATTTAGATTTTATTGCCTTACACGTTCATTTCACAACAACTATTGTAGAATTGTTTTAGCTTTCGCAATGAATTTTCCAGTGACAAAAATATTAGCAAGCTAACACAACACAAAATAACATGTTAATATAGATGACAAGCAAGGGAATATGAAGCCAAGCACTTTCCATATTAAAGCTGTCTGTCCGGCACTTAACTCTCATGTTCGATGGCTGTTGTTCTGCTAAAAACATGCTATATATATACTATATATGTACTATATATATACATATATAGGGACGACAACGAACGTGCAGCACTCATTCGTCTGCTCACGTGCTGCATATTCATGTCAGGGGTTTGACTTCACTTGCCCAGCCGTTGAGATGAGGTGAGGAATTTCTGAATACACGGGAAAAATGCATTAAAAATATTAAGTAGTTAAAATATATTTTAGATAATGTTTTTTTAATTAAGGATTTATTTATAATTGAAGAAGATTTTGAAATAATTTATTTAAACCACTAAATTCAAAAGGGAAACCTATGTATTTTGTCAAAGACAAGCAGATAGTTTTTGATTTCTCCAAGAATCTCATTAGTTTCTTCGATAGTTCGTTTAATCACAATGATTTAATATTATTTACTTTTAAAAGCCAAAGCCCTAAGACTTTCCCTTCTTCTCATGCACTCCAGTTAGTCCTTAAAGAACTCCTATCAATTAAGATATAGTCGCTGTTCTCTCTGCACTCGACACATCAGTATGGGTTACTATTAATGGCATGCAGTATAAATTGAATTTCATTACATGACGACGTCAATTAAAGGCATGTAAAACTGAATCGTCAGTGACGGTTTTAAAATGCAGCCAAGCCATCATCGAAAAGAATCTGAATCTGAAACTGAATCTGAATCGGGAAAGGTAGTTGAGGAGGTGGTGGTCAGGGGAAAATGGGAAATGGTAAATGGAAAATGGGCGACAGCAGCAGCGGCGGTGGGACATTGACGTTCGCTTAATGAGTCGGCAAATGGCTGATAAAAATGCACAGTGAATATGAAAATCGCTGGCGCTGACACTCGTGACGTCGTGACGCGGCGCAAACTTCTCGAAACTGACAGGAAACATTGATAAAAGTGCCAACTGACATTGCGTAATGATGGTTGCGCCTTAATAGCCGGCTCATTAAACCTGGCCTGCATTAAAAGGCAAAAAAAAAAATATATAAAAGGAAACAGATATACTATCCAATATATGAAATATTACAATGCACAAAAAGTGATTTAACATGCATCGTACAGTGAAAGTTTTTTAATCAAACTTGCTGCTTCTGTGCGTATTTCACATTTAAAAAATATTAAAAATCTAATTAAAACTTAAACAGAATTTTGTATTATGTACTGGCAGCATTTTTGCAGTTGAAATTCGCTTAAGCTAAAAGCCCGTTAACAATTATGACTTTCCTTTGCCGCCCAACTAGTTGGGGACTTGAAAATGAAAGGAAAACTTGCTGCCAGTGACGGCAGGCTCTGCCTTTTCCTTTATCGCCCCCGCTGCCTCCCTTGGCTTTGTTTTAACTCGACGACAGTTTTTGTACGGCTTTCTCTCAATCCGCCAGTTATACGATATATATAGTATATATATAGTAGCAGAAAACTGCAACTGCAACAGCTAGAACACTTTGACTTTGCTTCATTTTCAGTTTTACTTTTTCAACTTTTAATTCTTTGAATCTTAATGACTTCTCGTAATAAGTTTTCATTTCTCATAATTTCTTGGGTTAATAGAATCTTTGCAGTTTTATGTGTATGGCTGCTGCCATACTCTCATGTAGAGCAACTTTAAATGTTATAACCGTGGTCATTGTACTGATTTTGAAGGATTGATACGAGTCAGAAGGCAGGAGTAAGTCAATTTTATGTAAAAAACATACTCATAGGAGTTCAGTAAATTTTATACAAAATATTCACAGAAAGTCTTACCAAATAGAAGGTTAACAAAAGGCTTTGTAAATAAATAAATCATAAACGTAGAAAACCAGTTGGCAACCACTGTGCTCTGCTCATTGAAAGTTTTTTGTTGAACAAGGAATAAAAAAGATATAAGAAAACTATAATTATGGAGTTGACACAAAGTCGGACAGCAGCAGCAGCAGCAGCAGTTACAAGTAAAAACGCAGACGACAATAATGACTCGGACGAGTCACGATGAGATGGAGCAGGAGGAGGAGCAAGAACAGGACTGGGACTACTATGTGGAGTCCTTGGCAGCCATGAATTCTATCCAAGAGGAAGCACTAGAAATGCATAAAAGTCGGACTGCATAAAGCGCAGCAGGACCGCAGCAGTTGACATTTATGTGGAACTGTCACTGCTGGCTTAAAGTAAACTTGGTAGTGGAAAATGGCCGGGAAAGCGGATGGTAACAGTAGAGCAATGTGGGTGGGTGCTGTATGTCTCCGGAAGTGCAAGTCCTTGAGCCGCGTTAAATACTTGGCTTCTCGCTTGTCGCTTTGTGGCTAATAATAAATTCAAAAGCTGCCAAAGTGCAGCGGCAGTAACAATTAACTTATTAAATGGCCAAGTCAAAAGACGAAGGGGATATGGGCAATGGAAGTTGTGGAAATGAAACCGAAGCAGCCATAAAGAAGGTATCAAGGGGGTGATAGTAGGGAGGAAATACGCATCACTCCCTTTTCCGGAAACTAAAGCGAGAGAAGGGGACAAGTTTCTTACAAAAATATACATTTGCTTAGAAGAAAATTTTAGTAGTTCAGTTCAAAACTGTTGAAAATAATTCCCATATATAACAATACATACAAATGATGTCTTATTTTCTAAGTGAAGTACCCTCTTCCAAGAGCCTCACTCCAATTACAGTCTCAACCTTTTACTAATTAGCGAAATTGATTTGAATTTTATGGCGCGACAAATTGGTTTGTCATGGAAAGAGGAGTGAGAATCGAAGGCCTTGAGGATGGAGGGTAAACTCCAATTGAAACTAAATGTTTTGCATTAAATTAAGTCAGTGCTGTTAAGAAATCAAACTGTTTTGCAGCGGGAACGGGAATTTCCAGCAAATATCTCAACACTTTTACCATTTCTTTTTTCTTTCTTTCCGACACTCTCCTTGCAGCTGTTGTGACATTTTTTTGGCAAAAGCAAAACGCAATGGCGCCAAAGACGCCGCCATTTTCGCAGCTCGACAAAATGGCGACAAGGACATGCACATCCAGTTGGCTCTGCCGCCTGCTGCTATTCGGCTTTTGCATTGGCGCCGCTGCCGCTCGAGGTAAATATCCATAAACATTTATATACAAATTCATTTGCAGCTCTCGCGCATAAAATACGCCAGCATAGATGGCTTTTGTGAGCCGGCAAAAAAAAAGTGGCAATCGCCTGAATACAAATACATATATATTGGTTCAAATGAAAACAGCATCGCGGCACCTGCGGCCTTTTTTTGGTGTGCAAAAACTAATTATGTATCTGTCAAAATCGAACGGGCAAACAATGCTTTCCGCTTGTTTCGGCGTGTGCATCGAATACCGCACATAAATATTATTAATTAATCTGATAGTTTCGCTTTAAAAACTCCATGAAATTCAATTAAATTACTTGCCGTGAGTGTGGGTAAGAAATCAATGTGAATATAGTTCAAAAGTAAAATAAATTAATGTTATTTAAAGCAATTGTTTGGTTTAAACGAAATGCTATTTTTTATTGATATCAAGCAAAACTGATTTTTAAAGTAATTAGCGAGTATTTAAAACTATTAATCAGTTCAGCCTTAACTTAAATAAGTCCTTATAAAAGAGTGCTATATTTAAACAATATTTTAAACACCGTTTTTATTTAAAGTAAAGTAAAGAATACCTTGCACCAAAAACTTTTACATTAAAAACAGTTTAAGGAATAAAAAAAGTACCAACAGGAAATGGGATTAAAACAAAAAAGTAAGCAAACTAAATGGAACAATTTAAATATCAGTTACAACGTCACACCGAAGTCCTCCTGCCTCTTGTCCCGAACAAAAACAGACTCAACAACAAAATCTCCAATTCAACTGTCACACACAAAGTGGATGAATCGAAAAGAGACGGTAAAAAATAAAAGGATTCTAGTGAGATATATATATCAAAATGTTGTTGGCAAAAAAAATGCAATTGCATTTCGCACGTGATACTCTTGGTAGGTTTAAATATCAGAATTTTTACCCAAACGATTGGAGGGGGACGACGACGCGTCGCCAATCATGCGAATTTTATTGCAATATTGCGACAATTTTTATTAAAATTTTAGAATTTTCAATTTATTTAGCACTCGTATCAGGCCAACACACTCACCCAGTCTCTCGCTGGGCAACATTTTGCCCTTTGATTTGTTGCAGCTGCGTGAAATTTGGTCAGCAGATATTGGCCAGTCGCTCCCGGAACGGACACTACGTGATTTGATTTCCATGCAGGACTATTTTCGTTTGGTCAGCACAATATTGCTGCTGGCAAGTCGAAAGTATTACCCAGTTTAGGGAGTTTGAAGGATTTCAGCATTTTGCTGGTCATTTAAAGCGAGGCATTCCAATCGGATCGAATGTGAGACTAATAGACTTTAAATTGAATTGGCCATTTCGTTAATATTTTGCGAGTCCAAGAAGGCAGGCAGCTTCAATGTTTATCCGCCAGACAGACAGGAAACTGTATTCCATCCTTTTCATCCTGGAGGCGGTAGGGAATGAAATTTGCAGTGGCCTACGCAAAAGGCCAGCGAAAGTCAATTTAAATGAAAAGAAAAATCGTATGCTGGCTGAAGGTCGAAATTGTTGTACCCTAAATTAAAGTTTTCTTAATAAATTAGATTTATAAAAAATAGAATATATTAGCTATTGCTGTATGATTGCCATAGACAACAAATTCTTAAGTTAAACGCACAATATTTGCGATATAATATGGTACTTTTTCCGTTAAATTAAATCCCTATACACAACATATTTTTTTTATATTGAGTTTTATAAACTTGTATGCTATTTAATTAATTATAGAAATATTAAAATGTTTTATATCCATCTATGTCCAAGGAAATGTATACAATTGTAGTGAAAAGAGTATTCATATTTTTGTCCAAGCTCCTTTCCTCTGGTTGTTATGTTGCTTCCTTCTGTCTGTCAACACACTCTGATAAGTTCTACTGCTGCTTGCCATCCCCAGTTGGCCTGCATCCTGTCCGGTTCCGTTTTGTCCTGTGAGTCCTGCGTCTCCTGTTGACCCAGGCAAATGCTAATTTTATTATGACAAATGCGCAACGTCAGGTGGGAAGGGCTTTTTTTCTCTTTTCTTTTACCTTTTTGCACTGGCTGTTTTGCAATCACAAAGTCTAGACAACATCTCGCGCTCATTCCGCCCAAGAAAGCCTGGCTCTCATTTATTACGAACGCTAATCTGAGGACAATCTGCAAAGTGCTCCTAGTCATTGGTTCGTTAGCTTTGGCTTTATAAACGATGCTCCCGCACTTATCCCATAATCAGCAGCCAGCTACCGTCTTACCCGCACTCCAGCAGCTTCTAAATCACGCCCCACGATGGGGACTCTAATTGAAAATGATCACCGGGCCAGGATTTGCCCCACAATTACATGGCAGTTGAGCTTAACCTAAGTGGACAGCCTGGTAGTTTGTGGAACAACACATAAGCACGCCTCCAGTGAGAGAAAGAAACGCAAACAAACGTCGTCAGTGGTGTGAGTCTGCTTTTTGCCGCAGAATGAAGATCTCGCGAATGTGTATCTGTATCTGTGCAGTTTGCGACTGCGTGCCAGCGAGAGGTGCAGCAGCTACTTCTTCTCCTGGTTGGGCAACCGGACTCCTCTCGGTTGTCAGCTCTAATCTAAATAAGCGATTTGTCTGTGCATAACTTTTGTCCAAGCCCAAGAACCCAGCCTCATGCCAGGAAATGCACAGTGAGAAATCATAATCGAGAGGAGCGGAATAAATAATTTAATAAAATATAACTAAAATTGAGAATTTTTATTGAGTAATCTTTAATATTTAAACACTCTTAACTCTTTTAATAACCCTTAATTTTTGTCAGTGTATGAACCAATGCAAACACAGTGGTTTGTCCTGCTTCAAGTTAAATAATAATTTGTATAATTTAAGCAAGGAACTCCTTGGTGGAATTTACAAGACGATAGCTCCTTATGGCCACGCTGATTTATCGGACCGGGCGTGGAATTTTTTCCTTTCTGGTCTTTGGGAATCTTGGGAGTCGGGCATAAATAATTAACACGTGCATAGTTTAAATTGCATTTTATGGCAAAACTGTTGACTCTTTGATTGTCCAGCTTGAAACTCAAGATGCTGCGATGCTATTCTATTTCTTGGAAGCCCTCAACAAAAGCACTTCCGCAAAAGTTTTCGAGTGTGGGGCTTTTGTTTTTACCCCCGGTGGAGAAGAGTTCACTGTCTTGGGCATTTAAAAAGCATTTAATTGTTTATTCATGGCATTGTTTTGTCAGCTAAATGAATGTTAATGACCTCTTCGAGGGATATAAATATTTGATGGGGGGGGCCATGAAGTGTTGAACAGGAAGCTCGTTCAAGTTAATTGGGAAGTTTTTTGTTCTACAAAGATATTTTTAGAGATGGACTAGCAGATGGTTTTAATTAAAAAATAATTATTTATTTAAAGAACTGCTTCTATTCTGATAACCTAAGGCACAATGTCATGTATAAAGCGTACTTAAGCCTTTATTGAGAAACATTTTATTATTATTGACACAAAACTAATGCAATACAAAAGTTTGTTCTGACATAACCATAACCCCACATGGTACAACTACAATCTAAACAGCAATGGGCACACATTTAGTGCCGCCTGCTGTGGCAGCTGCCTTGATTGCCGCCGCTCACCAAGTTTTTCTACTACATCTGACTGAGCCAACAAATTCAAGTAATTGTCAGCAATTCATTTGCCAAACGAATGTAACTTTTTCCCCCCATACAACCCACACTACACACCTCCTCCCTTGTCGTGTAGTTTTGGTAATTGCTGAAGCACAAGCGTCTCCACATTTCCAGCCACCTACATCACCGATTTGCCACGTCCCGCTGTGGTTTGTTTCTCGGTTTGATGTTGAGCCAGGTTAGAACTAGGTTAGTCTGCGGATTTGGCCACTTGGTTTTCCTATTTTTTGTGATTTTAAAAGTTTAATAAATTAAATTTAGAATAACATTACTTTTAATAAGGGAAAGGCCTTCTTCTGCCTTAATTGTCTTTTCATACATTTTTAGTGCAACTCAATAGTCTAACCTCTTGATTTAAATTCTTATTCAAGTCTCTAGTTGTTCCTTTTAGTTTCCTTTATTATTTTCAATGTAAAAACTCCTGGAACCAGCGAGAAACAATCGACAGAATGCACAAAGGACACCCATTCTCCCAAGGGATGACTGACTTTTCCTTTGCCGGCGCCATCCTTTAAACCTTCCTGGCTGCTCCACTTGTACCCGTGCATGTTGTAATTGTTATTATTCCGCTGGTATTGTAGCTGCTTAATTGAAAATATTGCGAGTGTGCCGCACAGTATGTCTGGCCATGTGTAGTCCTTTGTTAGAATGTGTTTAGCTGTAGCCAGGGGCGTCTTTGTGCGCCACTCCCTAAATGAAATTAATTGAAGACCCCCCAGGCCACACACACTCCCACACAACCCACTCCCCCGATACCCAATCTACCCGCAATTGGCAACTAAAGTTGCGCCCCGGTCATATGTAACTTTTTATATACGCCCAATATCCGGCGGCTATTGTTGCAGTATGCCAGAGCCCCCATATACCCCGCATGCCCAAACATATGGGGGCTAAGGAAAGGGTGTCAGCCTATTCCGATACATGCAGACAATAGCCGGAAAGTTGATCAATTGTTCTGGATAAAGCAAAGTTCTCCATGGCACACATTGGGCTCCCTTAAAGGTCGACTTTTGCGGCAATTTGTTTGAGTTTGGCGGTCGAGATGGTAATTGTAATTAAAAGTATACAATAACCCAGTCGGACTTTTCGGGAGGACGCGAACAGGGGAGGATGAAATTCTTCTGCAAATGGGAGGGCTTTCTTCGAACGAAAATTCCCTTTGGGGATTTTTATTTTTAATGCGAGAGAGAGAGAGAGAGAGATAAAGGGATACATATATTTTTGCTCTTTACTTGAAACTGTATGTATTCGCGTTCCCGACATTAGCTTTTGATTTGACTCAGTGGCGCAGTTGGTAAGCGGACGGTCTGTGATTTCTGAGACATGGGTTCAAA